TAGAGTTCAGTTCAGTTTTGTCAATCAACAGGCCAAGTCATCGACCAAAACTCCCTTTAAAAATCCTTCTTGATTAAAGCTGCTATACAGTTCAGTTCAGCTCATCTTCTCTGGAAGTTGAGAACTTTGACGGAGATGGCGAACACGGCAAAGAAGAGAACGCTGAATCCAATAAGCACAGCAACACTAACTCCAAGCATTCCCGAACCATAACCGAAACGAAAATTGATATACTCTTTCACACTACCCTCAAATCCCGGCCCCGCGATACTCGTCTCCACATCACCCAGCTGGGATGTGATTATTCCACGCAATGTCCATGCAATCGGACAAATATAGTAGAACCATATCCACCATCCAGGTATACTCTGAGTGAAAATAAATATAAAGAACAAATAAATAAATAAAATTATGAGGCACCTTGATATTACTTTCTTCGCAATTTTCAAATCATGACTTCGTGGAAGCTGTTATATGACTGCACATTTGCTCTCATACATATTTGCATAAATTTACATGAAAGACAGAAGAAAAACACAAATCTGGGTGAGTGTATAATCTCCAAAAAAAGATCATGTTCCAGCATTTTAGAGTTTTTTTTTTTATGATACTTGTTGTTATTTAATTTTATTACTGTTTTTCTGTTTACTAACATTTTTTAGAATTGTTTTAGTTTATAGGCTATCGTCCTGATATCAAGAAAATATGTGTGGTGTGTGTTTGAAAATTTAATCTGTACTTACTGGTTTAGGGACAAGGAAGCCAGAGAGAAGATTCCATAGCGAGTAAAATGCAGATGAAACAACGGCAGCCACGTTTTGTGTAGGAGTAAGACCAACAACCATCATACCGTAGAAGGTGAAGTATGTGAATGTAAGGAACATAAACAGGAGATAGTAAAAAAATTTGCCTGCAACATACGGAGAGAAGTGTATAGCACAAGCTCATTCATTTTGCCCAAACTTTTCGCATTTCAGTTAATAAAATTCACAGACCACTGAATATTGTCTGCTGTACATAATTTTCCTACACTTCCGTTTAAGATCATGGAAGCAAGGCAGAATACTATAGAAAAACAAAAGAGAAATAAAATATAGAAGCGTACCAACTGTTCTCTCGAAATTGATCATGAAATACGTAATGATACCATATAGCACTGTCTGCAAAAAGATGTATGGAATCTCCACAATGCCCTGGCGAATGCATTGTTATTGAGTAAACCTTATTGATCACCAAAAAACTATAAAGCTCTATAAAGGTTTTCATAATCTATTATGTACCCAATGAGTTGATGTATGTGATTGATTAAACCAAATGAGCCGCTCCTTGTAAATTTATTTGCTAATCAAGATAATTAGAAATGCTAAATATGATGCTTCATAATGGACAATGAAACTAATTTATATTGTATTATTAAGCCAGTAAAAAATTTAGCGGAGCCTATATATAACCTGGGCAATTGCAAAAGGATATGGAGAGTACATCCCAGCAGCTTTCTCCCTGTAGAAAACAGTTCTTTCAATAGATATTACTGGTTGCACAGAAGAAGAGTTGTTGATCCCAAGAAACATGACTGAAGCATAAAGAGCTCCCATTACAACGAACAAGTTTTGAGTTGAATCCCTGCATAACCACTTGGACACTTTATTAAGATCTCCAGGAAAATAAGAAAAGAAGAACGGTACTAATGATATTCTCATAATGCAAACACATTGCTGTCCGATTTATTCATAGACCCTTAGATAACTAAAAACAAATAGTGGAAGTGCCCAAAGATAAGAAATGAGTTTTACTGTTCAACCGAACTGCCTAACTGTTAGTAACTAACGAGTTAAGTTTGTCCTCAACAGAAAAAAAGAAACAAATTGCCACTGCAGTATCTCCATTTGATTATTCAGTGTACGTAATAGTAAATTGGCAAATGCCAAACAACATTCTCACTATCACCAGCAGTAGCCTATAAATGGAACTGAAGCAGTATATTACAAATTGCGTTATATTTAAGATGCAAAATTACCCATTAAAAAGATTGGAAGAAACTTTATCATTGGGTTATGAACAGAAAAATAAACGTATGTAACTGCTGCGATATACAAATTACCTTCTTGAACCAACATCCCAAAATATAGTGCCGATTATAACAGCACTAACTGTTGTAAAGAACAATCTCACAGCATTGTATGCTGGACTCCTCCAATAGACAAGATTTTGTTTCCACAAACATATTCTAAATTGAGATATAAGATCTTTGGAGTATGTTGAATCAAATTTCAGAGGTTCAAAGTTCTCGGGAGGAATACTCAGTGTTTGAATGGAAGCTTCAACATTCCTGCATTATAATTGATAAAAAAAACTTGAATGTAATACATATAAAATTTTGGAAAATCCAAAGAAGATAAAAACTATATCATCACACAAATCTTGTTCTAGAAAAGCAAAACAGCATCATATTGATTTTTATACCGATATTGCTGCGAATTTTGGTATATCACGGCAAAGTCTTGACGAATCTGCTCTTCCATAGCGGGCGTGCTTACCTCAAGCATCCATGTTGCAGGGTTGTATCCATCAGATATTGGAGAAACTCCACTTATACTCTGGGGATATAGACAGAGAAAGAGCTCACCAAAACAATAAAGAAGGAAATGTGTGTGTGACACATCACAATCTAGTCGCTGATGTGCACTAACATATGTGTGTGCTCACTCAATGAATAAGACCTTAATAATCGGATTTTTAATACTAAACCAGAAAAATAATAGTAACAGAAATGTGAGATTAAATTGAAGAGTCATAAGAACTGGAAAATGAAAGGCTTCTATCGACATGTTAAGAAAAATTTGATGCCAAAGAAACCCCCTATAATGACGAACAAAGAGAAAACCTTCCCAGAAAGCTTAGTATTAGAATAAGACTTACCTGAAAATAATTGATCATGGTTTGTGATCTCTCACCAAGCTTCCCACCGTATATCATTCGCCCCCCTCGCTTCATAAAAAGAAGCTGCAATTATTTTATATATTATTGTTATTATTTTTTTTAACCGGTGTAAGAAGTATGTTTAGATTTTGGGTATTCGAAGAACCTCATCGAAGGCTTCAAATATTTCAATGCTTGGTTGATGTATGGTGCACACTACAGTTCTTCCAGTATCAACAGTGTTGCGAACTGTTCGCATGACAATTGCTGCCGCTCGTGCATCTAGACCGGATGTAGGTTCATCCATAAAAATGATTGATGGATTTGCAACAAGCTCCACCGCAATTGTTAAACGCTTCCTCTGTTCTGTAGACAAGCCGGAACTGCCTGGCATGCCTACCAAGGCATGCCTCAGAGAGTCGAGTTCCACTAATTGCATCACCTCTTCAACAAACTCCTGAAATGAACTTTGTTTTAACAGAAATAAATTCTAGATGATAAAGTATTGAAATAATAAACACTGCACCAATATCCTGAAGTTATAGTATCTCACTTTTCTCTGTCCTTCATTCACTTCCTTTGGAAGCCGAAGAAATGAAGAAAACCAGAGGGACTCGATAACCGTCACCTGAGGTGAGTGTATATCACTTTGTTCAACATATCCCGATATACGAGCAAAAGACTTTTGTTCCTTTGGATAACCAGATATTCTTATATCTCCTTCAATGTACCCACTAGTCTTCCTACCAGCAAGAACATCCATCAATGTGGTCTTCCCCGCTCCACTTGACCCCATTAATGCTGTGAGAACACCAGGCGAGAATACTCCACTGACATTGGATAATAGTTGCAACCTTGTTTCTGGTATACCTTGTGAACTCATTTCCTATAAATCCGCACATGCACAAATATTTTATAATTGGCTATTACAAATGAAGAATGGCCATAGGTGAAGCTTTATTGATAAAATGATTACCTTTGGCATATCAACAAAGTAGTTCACGTTATGAAAAGTCATGGTCAATGGTTGAAATGGTAGAATCATTCCTTTCTTTTGTGTTCCATTATTGGCTGGTATAGTATTGGACCTGGAGTTCTCAGCTTGTCCTGCAAAATCAGATATCATGAACTGTAGCACATATTATTGTTAATGCATAGTATTAGCAAGTTTTTCTTGTTTGTTGATATTTACCGCGGCTAGCTGGATGTTCTTTTTCATCATCTGATGGAACAATTGTCTGTGATTTTTTAACAGCTGCAAGCGCACAACAGGGATGTTAAGGAGATACACATATTTCATTAAGGAAAATTATTTGTTGTCAGATTTCAGAACTCCAAGCGTACTGCTGCAAGAATTATTCTCACACCAGATAAGTTGGTCCATAAACTATGAACTCTACTTATTTGGCTGGTTTTTATTAGTATATTTCAATGCCGATTTGGTAAGGCTTTAATTTTTTTTTTTTTATTATTTTGAGTATCAAATTATAAAAGTTATAATCTGTACCTATCATATCTCTACCTCTGGGATTTACTTGACAATATGACAGATATCGGAAAAGGTTATGGTAACTTAGCTATGTCCCACGTGTATCATAAGTGGTGAACAACTTACGATTAAGGAAGGCCAGTGCCATTGTCACAATGACATTGAAAAAAACGGCATATGCTAGTAAAGCACCGATTCCAAGCCAATACCAATAATTGCTACTTGGTAAACTGTGAAGGCGGAGAATCTGGTCTCCAATACTGATATTACCCCCTGCTGATCTCTGCAGATGAAAATCAATAAAAAATAAATAATTTTATGCACCTTACAGCTAAAAAGTTCCCAAATTACTATACATTGGAATAGGGAAATGATATGAGAGCACACCTCCATCCATCTTGTGGCAGTAAACTCGTTAACCGATATTGCACGCTGGCCATATGATAGAGGAGACACCCAGAAGGCCCAGACCCACCAAGGTTTGATCATTTCTGAAGAAAAATGGTTACCAGTTGTAGCAAATAATTATTAAGCATCTTAGTTAGGATGAAAATGGCGTACCTTTTGGCAGAATAAATCCACCCAACAAAAATATTATCAATAATGCAGCTGATCCAAAAGTATTAGCAATGATCATATCTCTTGCAATAGAAGCCATTGCCCTGAAGAGACCCAACGCCATTTGGTGTACTGAAAATAGTAGAAGCATAAAACGGAAGAACCTGTAAAAGTTTAGAGGAATAAGTGAGTTTGATAAAAATTCATAATTACATTAAACTGAAGGAGTTAATAAGAACAAAACCTTCCAGCTCCAGGTGCAAAGCCTACAGTATAATATACCACACAAGACCAAACTATAGCTTCAATCACCGAGTAAGGCACGCGAAGTATGAAACTCGAGAAAGACCATGCCCATGCAGGATGGAAAAGATTATCCCGCTGCTTGTAGAATACTGGAAGTCGAAATATCATCAATGGTAGCTCAGAGAACCCATTGAACATCATATGCACCAGGCCAAAGAACAAACACGCAAGATAAAGCTCGCCATTCATCACATCAGTTGGATGTAGTCTGGTTCGAAGAAACATTGTACACGTCACAAAACCTACAAATGCAACCTGTAAATGCACATAAGTAAAAGACAAAACTGGACAAAATAGTTTAGGGAAATGTCCTAATGGCAAAGAGAAAAAACAGCTTAGTCCCCACTTCACCATAAAAATGTTACCCTTGGCAACTACCAAATTGTTCAGTAAACTATATTATACATGATAATTTCACAATTGATTCTCGATATCATCGTGTATAACTTATGACTTATGGACATAATTTCTTTGCAACATGGTGGAAGCAGGAATTGTTTTAATATTATGTACAGGATGGATGCAAGAGTGGTGATTTCTATGTTTTATGATAGAATCCTTAAAGAGTTCTTTGTCTCTCTGACTCTCTGTGGCCAGATTTTTGGAGTACAATATGGATACAGCATAAAATTTGTGTCACGTTCAATAGGATATTGTTAAACTTCTCATTAACATATGAAGAGAATTCTTTTGTAGTTTTGTTCACTTGAAAAAAACTCCATTATACTCTTCATGCTTTCGACAAAAATCCGAAGAAAATGAGTACACTAGGTATATCACATAATAAGAACTGAATGACCAACCCAAAGTATAAAACAAAGAAAGTGGTGTACCTGACATGTTCTAAAAATATACAGAAAGCGATGCCTATTGATTAGAAGCAACTCTCTGTTAAAGCATGCTCTAAGTAGCTCCCTTTTTGGTACAGCATACTTGGTTTTGGGCAGAGCTGAAGGGTGACTTTTTGATTTATCATACGGATCAGAGAGAAAACCTTTCAAATTCTGACCAAATCTTGAATTCCTGAATTCTTCAGCAAATTTCGAAACCGGAACAAACTCATATGGTTTGGAATGATCACCCCAGTATTGAGCTTGATCCTTTTTTGATGTTACCTAGATGTGGAAGGATAGGTAAGAAAAACTTGAAAAACATTTGGAACCAAAAAAAAAAAAAAGAAAAAAAAAAGAAAGCAAAATTTACCTCCTGTAGAAAATCAGCTACATTCTTTCTTGGTGGCAACTGGAAACCTAATGATTCAAAGAACTCAAGGACTTCAGAACGAGGCCCGTGATATATAAGGTGACCTTCAGAAAGTAGTATGAGATCATCAAAAAGATCAAATGTCTCAGGAGCAGGCTGAAGAAGGGCCATGAGAACTGTCCCTTCCATGAGATGAACAAAGTTCCTTATACAATTAACAATCTGGAAGGTTGTAGAGCTATCAAGCCCCGTAGAAATTTCATCCATAAAAAGTGTTTTCCGAGGCCCAACCACCATTTCTCCTGTGTAAAACTGACCAACATTAATATCTCAGTGAAGAGAACATTTGATAGATATGTTCCCTCATAGTCACTTATCAGTAATCACCAATATCAGAACAAGGCAAACTTTCTAAGCAGATTTATCTTACAGACTTCCCAAGTACAAAAGAAAATCGATTATGTGTAATTTTTATGGAACCCTTAGGAGTATGTTTCCTCTTACAACAATATTTGTCAAAGCAAAAACTTGCCTATTGGTCATCTTACCAGATATTTGGATACTACACCCAATTTGGTTTCAGATAAACCATATGGAAAAGTAAAACCATAGAACTAAATATCCCGTAAAGCCAAATACTACAGATTAACATGCGTCTGATATTCTTAACATATTTAAGTGGATTCAAATTATATTTGTCATCTGATCATTTTTACTACAAGAGTCACTCTGCCAAATTTTAGAGTACCCAGAAAATCATGTTTTGTGTTCCGACTTTTACAACAATGTTCTTCAGCAAAAAGACTTACATCTACATAATTCACAACGAGCTGAGAGCCTGAGATTACTAATCGGAAATTGGTCATCCACAACGAATACTGTAAACCACATATACCATTTCATGTTAAGTCCTAGGCATTCATAGATTGGGCTATCCAATGGCAAAAAAACAAAAAAATAAATAAATATGAATTCTAGCAACAATTTATTGATTACAGATTACATTTGTTGAGATCAATAATTCGAACTATATATCCTAAAACAAAGAGTGCATGCACGACAAGTCGATGAGTTGCTCAAAGAAAATTTAAATAAATTGTGAATTATGTTATCATACCATCACAAGTATATCAATAAGAAAATATAGGTCATATGAATATAGTATAGGAGATGGATAGACAAACCTGTGGTTACTCTTTTTTTCTGTCCTCCTGAAACACCCCTAAGCATGTCGTTACCAACTAATGTTTCTGCACATATATCTAGACCAAGAACTTTTAGCATGTAGTCTGTTGACACGCTGTGCTTTTTACCACCAACAGATGATGCCTGAACAATTTGTTATTTTAGATGTTGAAGATAAAAAAATGAATAAATAAGATCAAACGTCGAGATTTACGTATGTCTAAAAGGCCACCTTCATATATGCATCTATTTCAGGTCGGGGGCGTATATTGCTTTCCTTCTCAAGACGGGTAAGATCCTCCATGTATACTGCCATACAAATTTCAAAATGCATAATTAATTATCTTAACCAATGAAATCTACTTCCTTTCGTGGAATTTGAATCGAATAGCAGAATATCCAGCAGAGAAACAGATCTAGAGATTTTCTAGAGAGGTACTCACGAAAACACACAGTCCAACTAACTTTTCATCTAAAAGGTCTATAGAAATAGTTGAACTTAAAAGTAACTTAAGCTCATTGAACAATGGGCTACAAGATGTTAAATTTCTATACATAATATAATTCACACAACAAGCTATCTTGGGAACATTCACAGATGATACGTAGATACTGTAACATACTTGGGTTTCTAATCTAAGACCACTATCCATCAAACATTTATATCGAAATTAACTACTTTCTATTCATTCAACTCTAATAAACTTGTATACTTGTCTCCATGAACCTTTAATTATAATTCAGTGTATTGGGTGAACATTAAACATTATAAAAGTCTTACAGGTCACAGAGCCTAACTGCGAAACATATCAATAGTGCTTCTAAGTTTACTTTGAATGATTAGTTTAGTGGGGAACAAGTACATAAGAACAAGTTTAAGGAAAGGACAGAATAACAGGAAGCAAACCTGAAAAACCTTCACTAGAACCTTGGCATCTAGCACCAAAATCAAGTGTTTCTCTTACAGT